GTACACAATAAACATCACTGGTGCAAAGAACTGAACCCGTGGTACTCCACTTGTGACATTTTCCAGTCCGATACATTGCCTCTGATCACTGCCCTCATTTTTCTATCAGTCAGAAAATTTTTCACCCATGTTAGAAGCGTACTGTCACCCCTCCGATATTTCCAGTTTCCAGAACAACCTCTTATGTGGAACTCTGTCAAAAGCCTTTTTTAGGTCCAGATAGATGCAGTCAACCCAACCATCTCTTTCCTGTAATATCTCTGTTGCTCGATCAAAGAAACGACGAGTAAATTCGATACACAGGATTTTCAGATCGAAAACCATACTATCTGTCTGATATTATATCATTTCTCTCCAGGTGTTCTGCCCATTTAGTTTTTAATTCTTTTTTCTCAATATTTTGACTATTACACTTGTCAATGATACCGGTGTGTGTGGTGTGTAATTACCTAAGTGTAGTTACAGGATGAGAGCTACGCACGTGGTGTCCCGTCTTCCTAGCACTCTTTGTCATATAACGCTTTTGAAACTACTGACGGTCTTGGCCTCCACCACCTTCTCACTTAACTTGTTCCAACCGTCTACCACTCTATTTGCGAAGGTGAATTTCTTATATTTCTTCGGCATCTGTGTTTAGCTAGTTTAAATCTATGACCTCTTGTTCTTGAAGTTCCAGGTCTCAGGAAATCTTCCCTGTCGATTTTATCAATTCCTGTTACTATTTGTATGTAGTGATCATATCACCTCAAATTCTTCTGTCCTCTAGTTTTGGCATATTTAATGCCTCTAACCTCTCCTCGTAGCTCTTGCCCTTCAGTTCTGGGAGCCACTTAGTAGCATGTCCTTGCACCTTTTCCAGTTTGTTGATGTGCTTCTTAAGATATGGGCAACACACAGCAGCTGCATATTCTAGCTTTGGCCTAACAAAAGTCATGAACAGTTTCTTTAGTATATTGCCATCCATGTATTTAAATGCAATCTGAAGTTAGAAAGCATAGCATAGGCTCCTTGCACAATATTCTTTATGTGGTCCTCAGGTGATAGTTTTCTATCTAGAACCACCCTAGATCTCTTCTTTATCAGAATTCTTTAAAGATTTCTCACATAATATATAGGTTGTGGGGGTCTATGTTCTCCTATTCCACATTCCATAACATGACATTTATTAACATTAAATTCCATTTGCCAAGTGGTGCTCCATATACTTATTTTGTCCAGGTCTTCTTGAAGGGCATGACAATCATCTAAATTCTTATCCTTTCTATTATCTTAGCATCATCAGCAAACATGTTCATATAATTCTGTATACCAACTGGTAGATCATTTATGTACACAATAAAACATCACTGGTGCAAGAACTGAACCCTGTGGTACTCCACTTGTGACATTTCTCCATTCCGATACATTGCCTCTGATTATGCCCTCATTTTTCTATCAGTCAGAAAATTTTTCATCCATGATAGAAGCTTACCTGTCACCCTCCAATATTTTCCAGTTTCCAGAACAACTCTTATGTGGAACTCTGTCGAAAGCCTTTTAGGTCCAGATAGATGCAGTCAACCCAACCATCTCTTTCCTGTAATATCTCTGTGACTCGATCATAGAAACTGAGCAAATTCGATACACAGGATCTTCCAGATCGAAAACCATACTGTCTGTCTGATATTATATCATTTCTCTCTAGGTGTTCTACCCATTTAGTTTTGATTAGTTTTTCCAATACTTTCACTATTACACTTGTCAATGATACAGGTCTATAATTGAGGGGGGTCTTCCCTGTTGCCACTTTTGTAGATTGGAACTATGTTAGCCTGTTTCCACACGTCTGCTACGATTCATGTACATAGGGATGCCTGAAAGATCAGGTGAAGTGGAATGCTGAGCTCAGATGCACATTCTCTCAGAACCCATGGAATGTGAAACGCCATCTGGGCAGCTGCTTTGTTCTTACCGAGCTCTTGAGCATTTTTTCCACTTCATCTCTAGACACCTCTATGTGCTCTATGTTGTTCTCTGGAATTCTATTGTATCTGGTTCCCTAAAGATTTCATTTTGTATAAACACACTTTGGAACTTTTCGTTTAGTGTTTCACACATTTCCTTTTCATCTTCCGTGAATCTATTTCACATTTTCAACCTCTGAATATTATCCTTTACCTGCAATTTGTTGTTTATGAATTTATAGAATAGCCCTGGTTCTGTTTTACATTTGTCTGCAATCCCTTTTTCAAAATTTCTTTCTGCCTCTCTCCTCACTGCCGTGTAGTTGTTTCTCGCATCTTTGTATCGCTGGTATGTTTGAGGGTTCGGCCTCTTCCTGTATTGATTCCATTTTTGTGTCTTTTGGTCTCTAGCCCTCTCGCAATTTCTATTGAACCAATCCTGTTTCCTAGTTCTGCATCTCTGTTTTGGTATAAATTTTTTGTGCCTTTATCATATATTTCACAAAACTTGACATACATCTCATTCACTTCCTTGCCTAGCATCAAGTCTGTCCAATTATACTCACTAAAAAAATTTCTAAGGTCACCATAATGTCCTCTCCTGAAGTCTGGTTTTTCAACTGCTTCAACCTCCTTATTTTCTTCCAGCTTATAACACATTGCATGCTTTATTCCCAAAAAGACATGGTCACTTTTACCCAAGGGAGGAAGGTACTGAATGTCAAATATCTCTTCCTCCTTCCTGGTAAATATCAAATCTAGCATGGAGGGAAGTCCCCTTCCCTCATCCTCGTAGCTTGTTTAACATGTTGATACAAGAATGTTTCCAGGATGAGGTCTACAAATTTACAGGTCCAAAAATCTTCTGTTTTAGCTTCATATGCTTCCCAGTCTATGGATTTCAAGTTGAAGTCACCGACTATCAACAGTCGTGATCTATCGTTATCCGCTCTCGCTATAATCTCTCTCATTATGTTATAAGACCTTCACGTTTACTATCTAGCTCCTCCTTTGACCATGTGCTGCTTGGCGGTGGGACTATATGCATTTATTATCATTAGTTTATCATCCTCATGGCAGATCTCTAGTGCTATTATGTCAACTCTTAGTGTGTGTGTGTGTGCGTGTGTGTGTGTTTGTAGGGAGTGTGTTGGGAGTGTAAGTGGGTGGGCGTGCGTGTAAATGGATGTGCATGTAGGGAGTGGGTGTGCATGTGGGGGAATGGGTTGTGCATGTGGGGAATGGGGTGTGCATGTGGGGAGTGTGTGTGTGTGTGTGTGTAGAGAGTGGGTGTGGGTGTGTAAGGAGTGGGTGGGGTGCATGTAGGGAGTGGGTGTACGTGTAGGGAGTGGGCGTGCATGTAGGGAGTGGGCATGCATGTAGGGAGTGGGCGTGCATGCAGGGAGTGGGCGTGTATGTAGGGAGTGGGCGTGCATGTAGGGAGTGGGCGTGCATGTAGGGAGTGGGCGTGCATGTAGGGAGTGGGCGTGCATGTAGGGAGTGGGCGCGAGTGTAGGGAGTGGGCGTGCGAGTGTACAACAGGTATGGGCGTAGGTAGTGGTTGTCGGGTAGGTGTAGACATATAGGAATTGGTGTTGATCTGTGGTGTGAGGAGTGAGTGTAGGTGTGGTTATCAACATGTGGATGTAGGGAGTCTTAGGCTATTGCAAGTGCAGGAGCAATTGCAAGTCTTAGGTGAGAACCTAGTCATTACAAGAGGATAATCAACAGTATATACCATGTATTTGTCTAGCCTGATTATCCAGCTTGGCAGTCTGTCTAACCTGATAGCCGGTGTCCAACTTGATTTGAGGATTTTGGAAAATGGCTTATGTTTACATAATATTTAATTATCAAAGGGACAAGCTGATAAGAGTGGTCTCTGGAAGGAGCAAGGTATTGTGGTTAGACACGCACAAATGCCTGAAAATTATTATATATTATAACCAATTAGTAATTTCATTTCATGCACTTAAGATAATGGTTGCAAAACTATTAAAACTCTAAAATTGTAATAAATATGGCTCATATCCACAGACGTACACTTCTCAGTGTATATATACAGGACTTTGATAATAAAATGTTATTACTACACCTGTATATGATCCTGTTGTACTGATGACTCCAGGTGTTGGTACAGTCCTCATGACCAGGGGGAATGTGGCCGATGATGTAGACCTTCTCGCCAACATCCTCGGCCTTCTGCAACTCTGCTGCCATCCATTGCAGTTCCTCTGCCGGGTCCACATCATCGTACAGAAGCCACCTGATGTGTCACACATATTTCACTCTGATAATTCTTAGGGCAGAAATTCACCAAATGATGAGTTTTATATTCAGGCTTAGCAATAGAACAAATGAAAAATATTACTATAGTTAATTTAGTTTTGTAAGTAAAATTTTGAAATGTTTACAATTTGAATGGTAAACCGAACCTAACCTAACCTACCCCAACCTAACCTAACTTATCCCAACCTAACTTAACCTACCCCAACTTAACCTAACCTAACCTACTCCAACCTAACTTAACCTACCCCAACCTAACCTACCCTAACCTACCCCAACCTAACCTAATCCAACCTAACCTAACCTAACCTATCCCAACCTAACCTAACCTACCCCAACCTAACCTAACCCAACATAACCTACCCCAACATAACCTACCCCAACATAACCTACCCCAACCTAACCTAACCTACCCAAACCTAACCTACCCAAACCTAACCTACCCTAACCTAATCTAACCTTATACATATTAACCCCATGTTACTTAATGTAATCTAACTCACCTTACCATAATCTACCCTAACTTACTTGAATTGTGACTAACTCCCAAACATACATACTCACAAACAGTCTCTTGACTAAACCAAACACTTTCATAAAACAGCAACATGTGGATACTACCATTAACACCACCCATCATTTATGCCATCATAAGTCCATTTTTAATCATATGCTGATTTTTCTCATTATCCTGACACAAACAAAAGACATTGATAACTTCCAACATCTGCCAAATTCTGAACATTGATGCGCCACCATAAGAGCAGCATCTATCAACATCACCACTCGTGCAGTCATCGGGAGGAAAACCTTCATGCAAACTGCACGTATCACGAAGAACAACAACTCCCTCCAATCCCAAGCAATCAAGCAAACGTCACACTTCGTTGCCGTGTCACTCGTTATGCAGGCCCTCCCCACAGAAAGGGGAGGTTGAATGTAATGAAACGCCATTTTCTGGGTGAGACCTGGAGGCTCCCCGGAGCTATCCAGGCTGATACGCTAATGCCAGACATTGGCATCAGTCATGTGTATGGAGTTCTTAAGGTCTACCGGGGACCACGGCCAGAGCCTGGCCCCCTCAGAGAGGCAAGGGGTGCAATTGCCTATAGAAACCCCCGTGTGGTTGGAAGCATTCTATGTCTGCCATCGATCGGGTTACGCATCCAGAAAGGTAAGCATTCCAAAACAATCCCCTATTCTGGTTAAAATTGCTACCAAAAGCCGAACTAGTGGATAGAACTCCCCAACAGAAAACAAGCAAACTTGTACTATGTCACACGTCACCGTGCCTCTGTCTGCGCAGCTCCCCCCTTCCCGGGAGGGGGAAGGGGGAGTACCAGACCTCTCATGCTGGCTATCCACCCATCAGTTCCGAGGCTGGATGTCAAAACACGCGAAAACCGCCGACTGGAGGGAGGCAGGGTTGCCAGGGAGCCTCCGGGTCTCACCCAGAAAATGGCATTTCATTACATTCAACGCTGGTTTTCTGGGGGGAGCCCCGTAGGCTTCCTGGAGCTAACTACCCACAGAGGAAGGTCTAAGGGACGTACCCGGGAGGCGGCCACCACTCACACCTCAACACAAAGCGAGACAACCGGCTGCAACTGCCAACCCAAAGCGACACAGGCCCAACCAGGCCTAAGGACGTGAACAAGGCAACGAGCAGCCAGGACCCAGAATGACCGCCAAAATCCCCACGCCCGAAAGTCCACCCAAGACACAGTCCCAAGAAACAGCAGCAAGAGCCGTGAACTTGCGAACATCACGGGCACGGGAGAGGCCGCAGGCTGCCTAGCTTTAATAACCCTGCGGATGACCTGGGAGACCCGCACCTGCGAACAGGGAACAAGGAAAACCGGATCAACCCAAAGCGCGTCCACGGACACAGAAGCCACGGAGCGCCAAAAACGGCGGAGAGCCGCAACCGGGCACAAAACCTGAAGCACCCCTGGCCAAACCAACAAGGCATCAACAACCCAGGGACCCTTCCGAAAGCAGCAGTCACATTCTACGCCAGAAAAGAAGGAGAAGGCCGCAGAGGAACAAAACGATTGCCCTGACCAAAGGAGCAGAAACCCCAGCGCCGGAGGAGAGCATGAAGCTCACCAACTTGACCCCCGAGGCCAACACCAACAGGAAAAGAGCCCCCGAGACACCAACCGGAACTGAAGGGGCCACAAGAATTGAGGAGAAGAAAAGAGAGAGCACCCAGTCCCACGACCAGGACGGCTCAGATGGCGCATGAGCAGGCCGGAGGTGAACCAATGCACGAGACAGCGTGCTGAACGGCGCAGAAGTAAACACCGAACGCAAGCAGAAGCGGCTCACCAGCGCCGAATGAAATGAGGCGACAGTATGCAGCAAAATGACGGCCCCCAACCCACATAAGAGAAGGACAAGACCACGCTACCGAAGAAGGGACAGAAGGAAAAAGGAAGGACCGCCAAAATACCCCACACTGCCGCCAAGAAGAAGCACGCAGGCAGGACACCAGCAACGAAGCCACCCGACCACCAACAGAAGGCGAAACTCGAGGCAGAGCCAAACGAGCGGGAAGAGGCGGAGCCGCGGGAAGACCTCGGGTGCGACCACCGAGCAGGCAGAGCCGGAAACCCGAGCCGGCAAAGAAGGAGATGGAACGTCTGCCGTACTGAAAAACGTCCCAATGCCAGCGAGCCGCCAGGAGGGTGGAGACCAAGACCCCCAACAGACTCCAGAGAAGGGACACCGCAAGACTCTGAAAATGCCAACAGGCCGGTGACCAGGAACCAGATTCGAAACCCGGCAACAGGAGCCAAAAGGCACAAACAAAACACACAACGTGGAGGAGAAAAGGAAGCTGAAGAACAAAGAAAGGCAGGCAGCAAATGGGAACGAAGGGACAGGACCAACACCAAAAGCCGCTGGACATGTACCACACGCCCCAAGGAGACCGAAGATCCAGAGGGAACATGACCACCAATACACGGGGCACACGTAAAGGGGGCAACAAGGCGAACTGAACGCCCAAATGAGCCGTATAAAAGATAGAAGAAGCATACCAGTGTCAGAGACAATAGAAATGCATGAGGAAGGGATGTGGCAGAGGCCAACCCCACACCCAGCAACAAGTGCAGATAAGAGAGCCCAGTAGGCTCTGGAACCTGTACAGAAATCGAATGACAGGTGAGGGGTGAGACAAAGAGCCAAAGCTCATCCCCAGCAAGCACAACTAGGTGAGGACAACGAGGGTAGTACAGAGAATCCAATGAACATGGAAAAGCCAAGCCCGGTACAGCAAGACCGGCAAGGAATGAGGGACCCAGAAAAAATCATGGGAACAAAGAACCCAAACAAGGAAGGCCCTAGAAAGAAGCACGGAAGGGCCAAACAAAACGCCATGACCATACTCCAACACGCAGGCGCAGTATCAAAACCGCAGCAAAATGTCACCACATTCCCAGAGGTATTGACAGGGTAGATAACGATAAACTGTTTAACACGGGTGGCACGCGAACAAGGGGATACAGGTGGAAACTGAGTACCCAAATGAGCCACAGGGACGTTAGAAAGAACTTTTTCAGTATCAGAGTAGGAAACAGATTGAACACATTAGGTAGTGATGTGGTGGAGACTGACCCCACACACAGTTTCAAATGTAGAGAAGATAGAGCCCAGGAGGCTCACGAATCTGTATGTCAGTTGATTGACAGTTGAGAGGCAGGACCAAAGAGCCAGAGCTCAACCCTGCAAGCACAATTAGGAAAGCACAAATAGGTAAGTACATAACACCCTCGACACAGGAACATGTACCACTGAACAGGCACCTCCACCTTTGCACATTGGAACAAGGTGGAGGCAGAAACTCAAGCACGGTTGGACATGCATAGGAGCGGGGCTGGATGAGTATAGTCAGGAGCCACCTCGTATGGGCCAAGAGGCCTCCTGCAGTCACCTGTGATCTGACAACTGAATTGGGTGGTTAGAAACAAGAGCTGCCACGTATGAGCCAATAGCCCCCTCTGCAGGCACCCCTGTTTGTATGTTCTATGTTCTCAAGTACGTATGTACACCCATTCTACTCCCAAAAACAAAACAGCGCCTGGACGAAGGAGACGCCAGACCGCACCAACTCACCTGCAGAACATAGGCACGGAAGGGTCATGACAATTCAATTTAATTCAAAATGAATTCAGAAGCATTCAAGATGGTAGTGAGTGGTGTCCCAGAGAACATAAAGGTATAGTGCTTTTGAAAAATAGGTGAGATAACAGGAATGTGCCAAGGGAAGTGAAAAATCGGATGAGAAAAAGTTGCCCTAGTGTTTCAGTGCAGAGAAGAACATTCAAGATGGCCACTGAAGAAATTCAGAGCTTGATTTTGAGGGATTCAATGAAGAAAGCATTGATATTAGTAGTCTACATAACAAGTTGGTAAATTTAGATACTATAGTGAACTCTCATGTAGAAATAATTAGTAAATTGAAAGAAAGTAATGACCATTTGATTAGCAAAGTTTTATGTCTTGAGGGTTTAGTGAAAGACTTGCGCAAGGATAAGAATCAATTGGAAACAAATTGCAAAGCCATGGAAGAAGAAAATAAACTCTTAAAAATAGCTTTGGAAGAAGTTAAAGTAAATTTAAACATAAATGACTACAATAGGTTAGGCAAGGAAATTCAACAGGAGAAACAGCTTTTGTCAGCACAGATGGAGGAAGTTACACAGGGAATAGAACAGTGCAAGAAAGATATGCAACTCACTTATGCACAAGTGGCCAAGGAGAAGGAAAAAATAGAAGAAGCAGTAAAGGAAGTCAAACACTGCAGCAACCAAGATAAAACAAACATTAGGCTAGAAGTGAGGAAAGAATTGGCATCTAACCCGAAGTTGGTGCAAAACACAGTTGATCGGAGTAAGTCCCTGATCATTTTTGGCTTCAAAGAAAAGGCGATAACATCTAGGTCAGAAAGAGCTGTAGAAGAAGCTAAAGTAGTAG